ACTGAGGAATTGTTGAGTAATCAATTGGGGAAATGAAGGTTTGTCTGCGGAAGCTCAATATGTGCCTATATTCCGGATTAGAAGTCCCTATTCTGAGGAAAGTGATGGGTGAAACTAACGTCAGTCCTATTTTATGGAGTTCATCTGCTAATACTTCATGGGGAATTGTGGGACACACATTGGATATAAGTAGTTTTTCATTCGGTGTGATTAGTCTTCTGGCGATGTGGATTTCTTGATCTATGGTGATTTTTCCTTCGTTTTCATTCATGAACTTGTCTACGACTTCTTCACTTGATAAGTATACACAGATTCTATTATTGGCAATTCTCGAGGAAAATAAAATATTTCTTGGATGAACAACATTACCTAAAGCTATGAGGTAGTCCCAGTGTCAGGTTTTCGAAGGCAGTGAACAGAATTCCTTGTTTTTTAGAAGGGTGCTTGGTGGGGTTCATTTGACTCACTACGGATGAGAATAGTCTGGTACTGGTACTTTGGAGATTTCTGTAGTCATAAATCCCCGAATTAGTTTCTTCATTCATGATTGAGAGATTAATATCGAAACAGCCTCAGTGCGCCCCTGCACATCTGCGCCAAGAGCACTGATAAGGCCTTGTATTTGGTCTTGAGTACAATAACGATTCCTGCTTCGCTAATATTTACAAGGATATTTGAAAACTTATAACAATAGACTCACAGGAATGCAGCTGATGTCCTATGTTTGGAACTGATAGATGTTTCACACAAATTTGTAAACTTTTAATTCCGACGTAAAAATAAAAATTTCGGAGACTGATAATAAGTACACGTACTTGTTCTATGTCAGGGCCGAACTCCTCTTTCATCTGGAGAACTGCGTTTATGTGGAACAAACTTCCTGAGAAATTTTTTTCAAATGGATTTAATCTCCAGCGATTCAAATCCGATGTGAATCGCTACTTTCGCACAGACATCGCTCTGAGAGCACCTTAAGGATTTTCCTGTAGTGCTTGTGTTTTGGCCTAAAAAAATGGTCCAAACAAGCACTGCTCCCAAACACCAGAACCAAGTTGGCGTATTCAGGGGTGGAGGTTTTAGTCTACTTTATCTCCTGAAGACGACGAAAATGGTGTGGTAGTTCTGATGGAATTAATTTTGTGACATCGATTCCACTTCTACTTTTCTATGAATAGGGTGTCAGTTTGGAAATGGTAAATTCTTGATATATCTTTTCAAGAAATTACGTGTAACACCTCAATTTTGAATTGATGGACAATTTGTAGAAACACTCCAACCTGGCGGTTCAATTATATACGAGGGGCATGTGGAAATTTCCCCTGACTGCCTGAAATAAACGATTTTGAAATAGGGAAGGTGAAGGCAAACATTTATCGAATCACCACTCACTGGCGATATTCTAACAAAATTATTTATAGTAATGTGAATTGATCAAAATTCAACATTTGGTTTGAACTTAATTTTTTTTTGTACTACTTTACTTCATAAAAAAAGTACAATCCAAAAAAATATAGCGGTGACATTAAAATACATGAAAAATGAATGAATGGTATCGATTTAATTATTAATTTAGAAAAAAATGTATATGATGTATGT